AGCTGTTGGTTATGCTCTATGACCACGTTACTCACAAAGCTTTGTCGGCGACTGTGCACCCTAATGGGTGCTCATCAGCACCCATTAGTTGTTGCACCCTTTTTGCACCCTAGTTTCCACCCTTTTGATGTGTTCACCCTTTAGGTTCCGCTTGTAGGGTGCTGAGACGCAAATAGGGTGCTCAAAGGGTGTGCTTAGGGTGTCGGCACCCTTTTTGACACCCTTAAGGGTCATAATCGGTTTACTGTATACCGTCCGCAGTGTGTAACTTAATGGGTATAAGGGTGAGCCACATAAGGCCGTGTTTGGGCCTGCCAAGCAGTAATTCGCATTTATCGGCTTACAATTGCAAGCCCGTTAGGTCGAGAGAGTGCTAGATTACGTTAATTGCTTTCTGTAACCTGCGTTCGACCACACCTTCAATACCACCCTCACTCCAGATGGTGATGTCTTCTGCGTAGAAGACGTGGCCGAGGCCGTCGACCATGCCGAGTTCACGCGAGAGTGCACTGTAGGCAAGAATAAATAAAAATTAGGAGAGGACAGCCTCTACAGGGATGCCTCTTCGACCTATTTCATACGTCTTGGCGCCTAACTATCCAAGTCGGATGATTTCTTTCCGGTCTCTCAAGAATGAGGGTATGCATTCGTAAAAGCGGGTCCAGAGGCCTGCTTCAGTTAAAGACCGTATGATGTGTGCGTGTTTAACTTTGTCAAATGTCTTTTCGTGGTCTAGTGTGGCGCCACTGCTTCTCCCAGAAGAAATGCTTTTACACGAATTTCCACGCAAAACATAGCGCCGTTAATAACCTGTTTTGCAGTTGCACACCACATTCGATTCTGAATCGTTATTAGGAGTGCCTATTTAACGGTTAACCCCGTAGTTAACCCCATAGTTTTACAGTTAACTCCATGTATGTTAACAGTTAACCCCTTAGGAGGGCCAATCATTCGGGCAGCACTGACCTCAATACTGTCCATGAATGCTGCACATTTGAATCATCTGAAATGAAAAGGGCCACTGGCCCCGCCACGGTGGTCTTGTGGCTAAGGTACTCGACTGCTGACCCGCAGGTCGCGGGATCAAATCCCGGCTGTGGCGGCTGCATTTCCGATGGAGGCGCAAATGTTGTAGGCCCGTGTACTCAGATTTGGGTGCATGGTAAAGAACCTCAGGTGGTGAAAATTTGCGCAGCCCTTCACTACGGCATCTCTCATAATCATATGGTGGTTTTGGGACGATACAACCCACAAATCAATAAATCAAAAGAACCACTGATTCCGTTCATGGTGAGGTGATCGTCAGGCAGATTCCAAGCGCCCACCGGCAAGCACCACGAAAGCACTGAAAACGCTTGGCACGGTGATTTTATTCTGTCTTCTGGAGGCGGCGGCGCGCGTCTGCTCCAGCACTTGTTAGTAAAAAAAATATGTGCTTTATTATAATTAATACGCATTCTGATGCGCTTCTTAAGCAGTAGATCGCAAAGTAATGCGTCGTGCTTCAGTGTTGCGTCTGTTTTCTTGTTTGAACTGCTCAGCGCCACACAACAACTTCGCGGCATCACACCTCTAAAAAACCATCTTCTGACAGACATGCGCATCAAGTAATCGTACTAGATCACAGGAAACATGAAGCAAACTGCCCCCCACACTTGGTAACACACAAAATAAGCACGAAAAGCACACAAAAAAGTTGACAGATCCCACGTGCTGTGGGAATTGATCATAGGCAAAGTATGAATGAGGAAGGTTGATATGTCACTTGAAAATGAACACAACATTACGAGTTGGAGGTAAATAATGCCGTAGATCATTTCCATGCCATAATTATTATCTCTTGAAGTTTCATTTACTCTCATTGTATGTTCACGTCACGTAATACCTAATTTTGTATATGTGAAGCGTAATTTTGAATATAGCAAGCGTAATTTTGTATATAGCAAGCGAAACGGCCCCGAGAACGCCATGAGCGTAACATCTAGTATTGTTTTTTACATACCATGCATATCACGACTATTATGTTAGATGTGTCATTTATCTTCATAGTCTATTCACTTCACCTGTTACCAAACTTGGTTATGCGGAGCTAGCAAAATGGCTGCGAGCGTACTATGACAGTAGGAGGTATTCATGTTCTACACGACACGCATGTCATGATTATCATGTTTGGACGAGTCATTTATCTTCTTCGTCCATTCGCGTCACGAAATGCCAAATTTGGTATATGTGAAGCTAGCGAAAGGGCCGTGAGCTGTTCGAAATCATGGAATATTGTCATGTTGTTACATGACGCTCATGTCATGATTATCATGTTTGCACTAGTCATATACAATCGTCGTCTATTGACGTCACGTAACAAAAAATTTGGTATTTGCGAAGCCAGCGAAATGTCCGAGAGCTTATCATTAGCATAGCATGAGTGATAATATATGGTACGCATCTCAAGATTATCATGTTTACACCAATCATGTACCTTCTTCATACATTCACGTCAATTAATACCAAAGCGAGTGTATCTCAATCTAGCGCAACGACCGTGAGCTCACCATGAGCGTGTCGTGTAGTATTGAGCAGTAATAACATGAAAATCATGGCATGCATGTCGTAATTTTCACGTTAGGGTCTGTCAATTATGTTCTTTATGCAGTCTTTCCATGCCCTAGTAGTTTTGCAAAATGTCATGTGAACGAAACTACTGCAAGAGCAGCAACACCCTTTATTGTAAATCATGACATTGATGGCGTACATGTCATGATAATCATGATAATACCGATCCATTATGCTAGTCATACAGCCATGTTATGACATACCAATTTCATGACGACACCATAATCGAGACAGCTAGGAGAGCTAAAAGCCTTAGGCGGCTAGATAGATAGATAGATAGATAGATAGATAGATAGATAGATAGATAGATAGATAGATAGATAGATAGAAATATAGATAGATAGATAGATAGATAGATGGATAGATAGATAGATAGATAGATAGATAGATAGATAGATAGATAGGCAGGTACTCTCAAAGTCACCTAAGTTTCCTAACAAATGCTTAGCATTTAACAGCACACAGGCACGCACTAATCCCCACGCAACCACATCGAAACACGAAGTGCTATCCGCTTCGACGGATGGAGGGTGGGCGTTCTCCCCAAAAGTGATCAAAACTGTCAACTCTGCCCAGATGCGCTCGCCCATTGACGGCACTGTAGGCCGCACTTTGTTTTTGAAGGCGATTGTTTTTCTTGGGGACCATCGACGCAAAAGATTTGGTCAATCTGTCTGTCTGTGCATTTGTCTGTTTGTGCTCCCTTAACGGCACTCTAAAAAGCACCAGAGTGACCAGCTGATTCCTCAAACGGCCGACCCCATCTGCAGCGCCCACAAATATTGCTCATGGTTCAGCATTCATACTTGTGCGATTGACAATTAAAAATGAATTATTGCGCATACCTGAGGTAGCATAACACCTCAATATATTGTAAGTATATGTTATAATTGAGAAGGCATACATAAGCAATTCTGAGGACCGTAGCGTTTATAACACTGCGCAGACCATGCAACAGTCGCACGAAAGGCAAGTTTTTCTAACGCTTTGCTAAGGCGACACGGTGTTGGCACCTACCCGTCACCTTGCGTTCTACACCTTATCACCTCCGAGAAGGGCGCGCACACCGCGGGCGCGCTTCGTTTTCCAAGATAACGGCCAAATGGCGCTCAAATCTCACGTGCGACGTGACTTGAGGCGATTTTTCGCCTCCGCAGCACGCTTGAGCGCTGTAACGCAGCACCTCTAGAATACGATTCACCGATTTTCTTGCGCAGAACATAAATAATAGTTTTGTTCACTTTCTCCAGACGCAAGATTATCGTCTTTCGACGATATTTTCAGTGGAACATAGAGATACGGTGACAATTTTTATCCTGCGGTGGTGGTCGTGGATATAATGAACTAGACTTCGATGTCATGGTCATGATGCATTTGTGTACTTTATAAAGAGCTCTGGGAAAGAACATTGTTGGATACTAAAGAAGCTGTTGTGGAGCGTGCAGAATAATGTGGCCGTGGCGCAACGGATAGTGGGTCAACTTCCTTTGTCGGGGAGTGAAAAGTCGTGGGTTCGACGCTCGTTCGCTGAACTTTGATTCTTCTTACAATAAGTCACCATAGTTTTGGTGTATCCCCCATAAAACACTTTCCTGTTTTAAAACAAAAACAAAGAGCACAAGAGTGCGAATTGGCACCTGGAACGACATGAGTGTCGAAGAGGGTGTGCATAGACGAGCTAGTGAGTGATACTTTGTGAGCGCGGAGCTTCTAGTTCAGATATGCAGTTGTAGGCATTTCATAATCCAGTATTCTGCTTAAGGAACTTGTGAGCAAACGTGCGTGTGCATGTGCGTCTTGTTGATACCTTCAGTGGTAGATATAACGTGATGCACTGTTTTTCCTCATCAAGTTTTGATGTGTCTATCATGTACTTTAAATGGGCATTTGAACAGTATGTAGTGACATCTTTTTTCCGGTTTGAATGGTACCCTGTCTTAGTATCCTCCGCTTCGCTTTTTTGCTTTTCTCCCAGTACACACGCTGATCTTAACATTCATATGTTAGTGCCTTGAACGTTTTTGCAGTATTTAGCTGATGATATGCTAGTTCATCACTGCATATAGATGCTTGGAGAGTTCTAGAATTCTTCCATGTAAGTATTTAAAGCATGGTAAAAGCACCCTTTTCTAGATTCTGTTTTGTTTTCTGTCTTTCACGTAATTTTGTGTTCCTACGTTTTTATGTTCGTCAATATTTTCTTACTGATTAAACTGTATGACTCTTATTCTCTTCAAGTTAAATGAATTTGTATACGTTCCTGGGAGATTGCTTTAGTGGGTGGGCAGTACTGTCGAAATATGAGCAAGATATATATTTTTATAATTGAAAAGAGTAGATATGTTCATAAAACATTGGGTTTCGCTGTGATAGAATAAACTTGCACTTACGGTCATCTGGAACGAACCCGAACGTATCCTTGGCTACGTAGCAGTCTGAAGAATCCAGGTTAAGGTGACCGGTTCTGTAAGTCGATGGAAAACGTGCGCGGAAAAAAACTTTAAAAATAGAAGATTTGTGCTTTTACATATATACTACGCGTTATTTCACTGCGTTTGCTATGCACGTACACAGCAGGCTCACCTTCATTGTTTTTTATTTGAAGCAAGTGTCTCATCAAACAAAAGTGTGTATAGTTCATGATCAGCCTCAGTTTTGGTTATTTTGTGTGTATATCTTTTATTCAAGCAGCTTAGTTTTCAGCATGCGTTTAGGGTAAACAGAGAAGACAGAAGCATAAACGGACGTATAAAGTTAAAAAAAATTATGGCTTATTTTCAACCCTAAAAATTTTAAAGGTGAGCTTTAAGGCCCATGACCCACGATTTGGCCACGTCCTGACCGATAGCACAAAGCGTAGCTTATCCTAGCCCCACCGTCTGATTTTTTGTGTACACGCACTCGCTTCTACTGCAAAATCCGTTCGTAAACGTCCTTGTCGTCACTGCGCGAGAAGATAGAAGGATCTCGTAGACGCCAGTAACAAGCGCAGGGTAGGGTAGGGGGTGTTATGGTGGTGCCCTACTGTGTGCTTGGAGGATTTGAAAGAGTGGCACCTGCTTCGTTGGGCGTGGTGAATTTTCGGGAGAGATTCCGATGTTGAGATGTGATCGAAACCCAGCCACCCCCATCACATGCTAAGGGGTTTATCAGCAGAAATGTTCGAGAATGGGCACCTGTCACCATCGTTCGCCCAAGCGCACGATGTGATGGCGCTGAGGTACAGAGCAATGTCACAAAAGCTGCTGGTCACTAAAATTACGATCACTGCAGCTACAGAGTGTCACAGCTCTTTCCCTGCTAGGAATACTCTTAGGAATAACTTAAAATAAAAAAGTCAAGAAACAAAAAGTTTTCGCTAATCATACATGCAGTGCCTTCGCTATAAAACATACACGCGTGCAATCTCACGACAAGTCACTTAACCATTTGGCTCCAACTTGTGGTTTTTCAGCTTCCACATATCTATGCGCCTCCTTAAAGTTAAAAAACGGCCTAAATACGCTTATGACGCTTTAAAGATGAAAAGTTGACATTCAAAAAAAAACGATTATTTTAATCATGTAGCTTTGACGAGATTCATAGTGCTATATGAAGTGATGATCAGGATGCACAGTTCATTTATAGGGATAAGTGTCACCAACATACATATCAGTGTTTTGAGTGCTCAGTTCCTGCGAAAATGGCCAAGAAATAGTTGGCCATTTGGACCTCTTCTCTGAAAGACAGTGGCTGGTGAGCCATTATTTACTCAAGCGCTGCGCGTACTGGACTCATAGCGTCCAGTAATTGCAATGTACTTCTCGCTGACGATGTGTGCATGCTGTTTAACAACAAGCGAATGCGTTATTTTAGGGTCGCAGAAGAGCTATCACTTGCTGATCGGTGTTCCACAAGGTTTCCATGCAGAAGCTTGCTCTGAAAAAGACGGCTTCTGCTGCGACTCTTCTGCGCGTTCTGTACGCGTAAGAGGCGGCCACTCTTCTGCAGAGACTGATCTGCCCGTTTGCTCTTTTCTAACGTCTGTGTTTGCCGTGCTCTAAACTGCAGCTGGCATTTTTTTCTGATGCGTCGACTTACTTCCTGAAGTTGGGACTGTCCGACATGAAGACCTTCGAATGCGACGTCGTCTTCGCCGGATTTTCTCAGCAGCTTCTTTGTGGGTCGAGCTGTCTCGTACCATTTGCTTCAGAATAGAAACTTTATTCTTTATGTGCGGACATTCTTTGAAAGAAGCCTTGTGAGCACCCTGACAATTAGGACAGTTCAGTGTGGTTGCGCTACACTTGTCTTCCGCGTGTGATTCGGCGCACCAGGGGCACGCTGCCGAGCTCCTGCAAACACCTTTACATGGCCGATCTTCTGACAGTTGAAGCATTGCACAGGTTTAGCAATAAACTTTCGAACTTGTTGACGAAAACGGCCAACCTACACGTAGGCGGGAAGACAGTCACCTTTGAACGTGACTCTCACACAACGTGTGTTACCAAGGCGTTGAACGCGACAGTGGCGTTGCCTTGTCTCGCTGGTTTTATAAGTGTTGGAAGGTCTTAATTAGAGATTTGCGAGTTATTATCGTAAATGACTCCTGATGTGGTCGCACCATCGGCTGGTATGATGGACCTAACTGCAATGTTTCCCAGTTGTGTTACTTGTTGGAGCATGCTCAGCGCACTCGGGTGCAGCACGTCGACAGCCAGAATGTTTGTTCTTTTATTTAGCCGTAACGTCTTTGATATCGTTCGGCACAGTGTTCTCGAAATAGAGCGAAATCACTTGCCTGTTCAGAACACGGAGACTGTCGGTAGCGTTCATTGGCACGAACAGGCTGGAATGGGGCCATCGCTGGGGCGCTGTTTTCACGGTGGCCGTACTTGACAACGACGACGGATTGACGATACGTCACTTGGCCTAGCGGTGCAGGACAGGTTGAAAGCCGTCATCTGTGTACTTGTCGCAAGATTCAGCAGTGCAGCTCAGTGTCATCGCTCTAGCTGGATCTGTTTCCTCGCTTCCTTGAGGTAGTGACCGCGGTTGAAGCGGAGTCGGACGTCACTTCGTGAGGTTGTACATACATTACCGCAACGTACGGGGAAATACACCCCACAACTGCAGCGAAAAGTCCAGAAAAGCACTGAGACGAGCGAGATGTGTTCTACGAAGAATCACTTCGACTTTCTCCCCCTACCAGGGACAAAGAGGTTGTGTTAAGAGTATAGGATAGTTTTATGGCGTAGGATCTTGGCAACTTCTTTGAGACTTGGTCTGTGTGGTGTGAATTTTTTCAAAAGTCCGCCTCATTAAACAGTTGAGACTGACATTTCTGGCAAAGCATGCGAATTGATTATTCCGGTGCGAACGTGTTGACGTCCCGATTACGTGGGTGTATTATTAAGCGATTGCAGAATTGCTGTAAGTACAAAGGTCTCAATTGAAGAATTTTTGCACTGAAACTGAATGCGCGAAACCAGAAATATGAACCCCTTGGTTTCAGTAAAGCTTCTATTACCTATTCAGACTTATCCCAGCTGCCTAGCAATCTTACTTACAACTTGGTATACGTGGTTGCTAGTCAATGGTTCTTTGTTGCTTGGAATATAGTTCTTACCTCAAATATCAGCTGTGAAATATTATTTCATCGTAGATGCAAACAAAGAAGTTTGAGTTATTAAAAAGAATTCAAAAAAGTAGGTTGATTAGGCCCAAAGGTTAATAACTATAATGCATTCTATTTGAAACACTTTTTACAATTCAAAATTTCTGTCCACTTCTGAAAACGTACCGCTGCTAATCACAGTATGTGGCAGCACTTATTTGAAATGAAACATGTCCTACATGCGTTGTGAGTTTACTATATCAGCATATCATCAAAAACACTGGGCGGCGATTCGATGTACGTCTAGAAGTTCACTATTCCAGCTAAAGAAAGACTGTTCCACCTAAAAAAGACTTTTCTGAACATTACGCATAAGACCAGTTTCGACCCGTGGTGTTACTGTCCGTATCATTTCGAGGCTGACTGCACTTCACGATGCTAGCAGTTACATCACTATTGCACGCTGCTGATGCTCCTTCAAGGATTACCAAAAGTGGTTCTTAGTTATTTTTTGAAGCAAAGTACTGCTGCACAGTGCAGTGCACATGGTTACAAGCTAATGTTTTCGATTAGTATTTGTGCCTCTCCCTCATTCATCTCTCTCTATTTCGTACGCTTAGATTTTCTACGAGGTTTTGCACGCGATCAAGTGACTTGGAGAAATGAACAAGGGTTTAATAACTTTATTTAAAATGAAGATAAAGAAATATGACTGATCATACGCCAATCTGAGTGCGACGTCTCTTACATTCTTCCACTGCCAGCGAAAGTATATATGGCTGGAGAACTGAAGTTCTCATATCTGCCATACATTGTATATTTGACGCACTTCGCAGTTCCTCCGAAAATTGGATCGGAGTAATAGTTCCTGTACATCTGGTACCACTCTCCAACATCAGGGTAACACTGCAAGAAAAGGGAAAATCTTTGAATGAAGCTGCACTAAGGATGATTTCAGTAACGAAAAAACATCACCAAGGAGACCTGCGGTTCGACGATAAAGAAGTTTGGACGAAAAAGTTTCGTTTGCAGGATTCGAACCGACGACTGAATACGTGAAAATAGCCGGTGCATCTTGGACACACAGCGCCACGTACTTAGTACATGACAGAGATTACATGCACACGCCTTTTTTCTCGCTCTTTTCTGCCATAAGACTCTTAGGGTGCGTCCCCACTTGGCCTCGGAGGAAGCGAAAGTGGCGAATCTCTCCGGAAACTGCCTCGTTTCAGCGCCCAAGTGGTAGAAAAACCACGTCGCGTGGCTGATGCGCGAAAAAACGGTCCGAGACCTAATTTTCCCGTCATGCGAAAACGCATCCGGTTTCCGCTTTACTGCTCTAGCTGCGCTGAAAGAAGCTTCGGGATCTAACCAGCCGGCCGCCGATTCAACATGGTGGCAAAGGCATTGGTGGATGCTTGCTTCGGCTCTAATCGCGAATAATCCAGTGAGCCCGATGGAGCTTGACGGCCTCAAAGAGGACTTGTTCAGTCGCGAGCCTCGTTTGGATTACGATCGCCGAGAACACTGGATGTAGACGGTGCAGCAGCAGTGGGTCGGCATGCCCCAACGTGTCTCACGCTTATGTACAGTCAGACAATCCACCGCCACGGCTTCCGTTGCGTTCCCTCGTGTCGTTTCTGCTGAATTATCAACAACGTTTAAAATAGTGCAAGCTCTTTTTTAGTACTTGGCGTAAGTAGCTAAAGTTTGGTACAAAGCTTTTTTTGACCGAAAAGCGGACAAAATCAATTATTGTTGTAGTTAGTGATGGCAACGGCGGCAGGATGAGGCAGAACGAATGTGATCGTCTTCGACGCGTGAGCTCGTCGTTTCCCAGCTGCTCTGGCAATTTAGTTTTAGCTTAACTTTTCAAGTGTGAGAGCGCCCTAAGGGCACAATTATATTTGAGAAGAGAAGCGACAACGAAAAAACCGGAGAAGCCGGAAAACCACAAGCTCACGTGTCGAAAACTTTTACATTCATTCTGCCCCATCCTTTAGGGCTCATTCACACTTGAAAAGTGAAGCGAAAACTAAATCGCCAGAGCAGCTGGAAAACGACGAGCTTACACACACGTCGAAGACGTTCACATTTGTTCTGCCCCATCTCGCCGCCACTGCTGTCGCTACTTACCACCTAATTTCGGCTGCTTTTTTGGACCTATATTTATTACAAAATTCAGTTATTCACGCAAAGTGCTGAAAAGAAAGTGCACGCGTCTTTCCAAGCGTTGCTTCGGCAAATACGCTAGCAGAAACGACACGAGCGGACGCACCTGCAGCAGCGTTGGGGGATTCGTCTGACTGTAGACAGCCTGAGACATGTTGGGGCATGCCGACCCATTGCTGCTGCACCATCTACATCCAGTGTTCTCGGCAATCGCAATCCAAACCAGGCTCGCGACGAACACGTCTTTCTTGAGGCCGTCAAGCTTCGTCGTGCTAGACAGATAGTTTGGGGTTTGAGCCGAAGCAAGCCACCGCAGATGCCTTTGCCGCCAAGTTTAATCTGTAGCCGGCTAGTCAGATCATCTGGTTTGACCCTCATGCAGCCAAAGCCGTGAAGCGAAAAGTGAATCCGGTTTAGCGTGGCTCGAAAATCGGCATCGAAAAGATTTTTTTAAATGCGAGTTTGACCGTATCTATCTATCTATCTATCTATCTATCTATCTATCTATCTATCTATCTATCTATCTATCTATCTATCTATCTATCTATCTATCTATCTATCTATATATATATATATATATATATCTATCTATCTATCTATCTATCTATCTATCTATCTAGCTAGCTAGCTACCTACGTATTTTTGCTTGCCTGGCAGTTTGAATAATGGGTTCTACACCAAAAAATTGGTATGGAATAACAAGACTGTAGACTGTATGACAAGCATAGGTGACTAGTCATAACATGAAAATCATGACATGTCATGGTCTTGATGCTCCACCGCTGGTTTCGTTCACATGACATAACGCATACCTGGTATGGTATGATATCACTGCATGGCAAACATAAGAGACAGGCCCTCGCTTCTACATTATGAGATGCCTGTCATGTAAGAACATGTTTATAAGCCATGCTCATGATGCGCTCAATGACATTTCGCTAACTTCACATACACCAAATTTGGTATTACATGACGTGAACTGATGATAAAGGTATATGACTGATGGAAACGTGATAATTATGATATGCGTGTCAAGTAGGTACATGGCTACGTGCCACGCTCATGATGCGCTCGTGGTCGTTCCGCTGGCTTCAGATACACCAAAATTGGTATTACGTGACGTGAATGGAGGATAAAGGTATGTGACTGGGACAAACGTTATAATATCTCATGCGTGTCATGTAAGACCATCAATACATGCCATGCTTAGGATGCGCTCACGGCCGTTTCACTAGCTTCCCATATACTAAATTCGGTGTTACGTGACACGAGTCGAAACATGATAATTATGACATGCGTGTCATGTAAAACATGACTACATGCTACACTCATGTTGTGCTCGCCGCAATTTCGCTAGCTTCCCATATAGCAAATTTGGCGTTACGTGACTTATGTGGACGATAAAAGTACATAACTGGTACATACGTGAAAGTCATAATATGTGCCTCATGTAAAGAACATGACTATATACCACGCTTATGATGCCCTCGCGGCCGTTTTGCTAGCTTCGTATATAGCAAATTTGGTATTACGTGACGTGAACAGACGACGAAGAAAAATGACTCGTCCAAACATAATAATTATACAACATGACTGCATGCTACGCTCACAATGAGCTCGTGGCCGTTTCGCTAGCTTCACATATACAAATTTTAGTATAACGTCACGTGAATCGACAAACAGCACAAATGCCCGGCGCCAACCTGATAATCATGACGTGAAAGTCATGCATGCACGGCACTATTTACGAGCACCTTTAACGTGTTGATTTTGACGTGACAATTAACTTTCCTAATTCCTTCTTTGCATATCATCGACAGCTACTTTTCGTGGGTACCATAAATCTCTTTGTTCTGGCCACACGGCGCGGTTTTCGGCCGCTGAGGTGACGAAGCGAGTGAATTGCCGTTGAGTTTCACCACTTTCGGTCCCTTCGAGGCTAAGTGTGAACATGTCTTTAGTTTGCGAGGTCGTCTCGCTGTCCTAAGTGGTAAAGTGAAGCATAGCAGGGCCTTCCTCATCAGCTGAGGCTATGCGCACTCGTTACAATTTATCGAAGCCCGTCGGTTTGCGTGACAGTCGCATTCGGTGGCTTTGTAATGAGAGGAGTGTACTTTTTTCAAGGTATGAAGAATATGCGTGGTAGTAGGTTTTGTTAAAGCCTCACTCATGGCGTATATTTATTTTAAAAAAAACGCTCCGAGGCTCCCTTGGCTGTCGCACCCTGTTCTTCACATGCCTTGTAAGAAATCACTGCCAGGCTTGACGGGATACACGTCGTGTGTCGCGTTTCTCTTCGTGTTTCGTGGTGCTTTGAGGAGTCAATAATAAACAGCAACGTTTATTATGCACTTTAAATGACATAACTGCATGCGATTGACCAAAAGCGGTGCCCATTCATACCTCAACAACTTCAGCTATGAGGTAATTATATATTGTTGACGAGTTATCATTTCACCCTTGAACTATAGTATTCACAAACTTCTGGCTCAGCTAAAAAAAGAAACAATTTTTTGTAATTCGTTGCTTGTTAATCATTTAGTGATTACATATTGATTGGGCACCATTAAACCATTCCAAGATATTGACACGTTTTTGGAGTTTCATGGTTACTGATTGATTAACCACTTGGCTACTGATTGGCTACCAATTTGGTATTACAAATCATTGGCTGTGCATTTGGGCCAGTCAAATTTCTAATACCAATGTTTTAAACATAAAAGGTTAGTGATAGAGTATCCAATAGCTGTCCACTAGACACCGATTGGCTATGAGACATTATCAGTTACTAAGGTAAGCTTAACGAATCTCTATCAAGTTCAGGTAAAATTATTCAGGCCTCTGTAATCTCGCCTTACACTATATAGGCTATGGGCGATTTTTTGTTAGCATACTAGGGACAAACGCAAAATGAAAGAGCTTCGCTGTTAAAAGCTTCTCTGAATAATGAGCATTATTTGATCAATATCACTAATCTGATGATCAACCATTATGAGCAACCTCCCTGTCCTTCCTCTTTCATTCCTCCTCCTCATCACTTAGTTCAATATTTAATGACTAAGCAAGAAAAGGAAGTGCATGTCAGATTGATACCTTCTTTAAGAGTTTTGATGCTTCACTTGGGCCAAGGTATATCAGAAATGTCTAAAAAGGCATTTACCATGCCTGAGGACAAAACTTTGTGAATACCGATTCTGAAAAAAGTTACAAATATATCGCGAGTACAACAAAGCATTTAGAGCTTTACCAGACGGTATATTTAACGCTTGCATTTTTTGGCACAAGCTCGGCTAATTTCATTCCAGTCGTCATTAGGCACAATCTTAACCGCTCACTCTGCTGGTGTCTTGGTACTGTTGAAGGTCGCTTCGATCTTCTGGGTAATATAAATTTTCAGCTAAGACACCATAAAACGGCAGCACTGACACTACACTTAGGATTAGCAGCATGCTGATCTGATCGGAAACCGCACAAGGTAGTTCAAAAGACCACGCGTAATGCGTGCCCCCGGCTTATAAAAGCTTCAGCTGTCCACGTGTGTTGTCGAGTGCGTTAGAATCTTTTTTTTTTTGCTGAGGCAAAACCGAAACCTGTTAGTGAGTTTCATCAGTGTCAATCACGTTTGGTTGTATTTAGCAGGAAGTGGAGCATTTGGCCTTACTACTAATCAGCTAGAATAGGAAGTGCACATCCTGTGATTCTTTAAAATATACAATAAAATATTTTGTCAAAGCGATTCCGGAGGTGCTTGACATTTTGTATTTTCTGTATATGGCTTATTTTCATTGACATTAGCACAAAGTGTATGTGATTGGTGCAGATTGATGCCTATTAGGTCCCGCATAATTTTCGAAAGTGCAGCATGCAGTTCATCAGCGTATCTTGAGGAAACGGTTTCGAAATGAGAAAAGATGAATCATATTCCAGGAGAAAGGTTAATCGTGCTCAGACAAAGAAACTTGAAGACATTTTTGTTTGCAGAAAGAAGGGCCGAGGATGACAGAGATAAGTAACAAAGTAATGTTAACTCTGATAACAAAGAATAAAAGAGTCAGGTACATCACTGCGTAGACGTTCACACTCTGCAATGCATGAAATGCCCTTTCATTTCAGAGTGCACAGGCCTCTAAAATATTCCTCCATCTGATTGGGAACGGGAGAGCAAGGGTACAAACTGCGTCTTTCGGCCCACATTGAAAACCTGTTCGTCACATGAATGAAGCATTCCACCGTCCACTATCATGGTGAACTACGGTTTTTGAATATGCGGGCACGTGGTGTGTGCTGGCATACAGTGGATGCTGGAGAATACCGGAGCGCCAGACCGCTACACCAGGATGTTTTCCATGCCCTTTACCTGCTAGTAAAGTTTTCATATTTATTAAGCAAAAAGTAACGGCCACCAGTAACAAATATTCCTGCAATAATTGTAATAGGGCTGACTTCGTTACAGTTCACACACAAAAAAAAAATCAAGTTGACCGAGGAACATCTACAGCAGCGGCCACGCCTGTGTACATCACGCGAGCAGCCGGTTTTTTGCTCTACGCTGCGCGGCTTTCAGGCAGAATTGGGCTCTGACGTAGTCAGCCTAAGAGCTAGAATTTTTATGCTTCTGATACACCACTTCAGAGCCTGAAACTGCCCCAAGGTTTCGCCACGCAGAGAAAATCTCACCGCTCGGAATATTTTCACACACGTGGCCGCGGCTGTACAGTTTACTGTATGTTATAGTCCAAAATTATTATCGAAAGCGCTGCCTCTTGAGAGGCTATAGGACACCTCTAAGCTTGTAGCTGGTGTTCAGGCCAGTTGTCACTACAATTTTATTTGTTTGCGCATACCAATTCGTATGCTGGAAGCATGGCGCATAGGCGGCCAACCTGCCTCATGTTATCTCCGGAGTGCCATTGGAGACATGCAGCCACACCCTTATATGTTGTAGTATTTCGAAGCTTGTATTTCTTGGCAAATAAACTAGTTCTTGTCCCAGACCTGAATGAGTGTATGTGCTTACTTTTTTTGCTTCAACTGTGGCTGAGTACGTTAAAGTGTGGTGACCCACGATGTTTGGAAAAAACAGCAGTCATGATAGACGAGGAAGAAACTTCAAGCTCATCTACAACCTAGGTCTTGTAGTTATAGCTTCCTCATTTCAGGCCCAATAAGCTCACGGTATCGTTCAGTCAAGTCGAGGCCCGCTTTGAGTTTTGTGGAATCACATCGCCGGAGCCGAAATATCTCCACATTGTTGAAGCACAGCCACCGGACGTCGCTGGCGACTTAGACAATATGCTGGCCTCCACTCACTCGGAGAAAGTCTGCCACGAACTAAAAAGCACCATGCTGAAACTTCTTAAGCTGTGCTACCGGAGCAGGCTGGAGCATCTCCTATCTCATGAGGGGCTCAGTGACCAGCGTCCTCGGAAACTACTCCACCGAGTTCGTCAGCTGCTGGTCCAACAAGAATCAAAGGAGAGTAAACAGCCAATGCTTTACGAGTTTTTTTTTTTCGGAGACTGCCACAGTCAACACGGATAATACTAGCTCGCTAGGACTACGTGACTTTTTTTTATTGCCAAAGTGTCTGATGTCTAATGCTACCGCGTGAATGTCTGGACATGCAGATCGGTTAGGTCACCTAGAGGCTAGAGTTGATCGAGTGGCCGCAGGTGTCGAAAACCTCGCCCTGTCCAACAAGCACCGTCTTGCTTAGCATTTTTCGTCATCTCGTGCTCGAACCCCACAGCACCACGACCACTCAAGCGAGACAGATCAGAACGTCTCCTGGTACCACCGCTGTTTTAGAGAGCAAGCCAATTGCTCAACCCAACCATGATCATTGACAGGACGCGCACCGGCCAGTTGATAACGGCGGACCTAGGAGCATGTACCTACGTCGACCTGGGAGCATGCATAGTTTGCCAGCTGTTACTGCCATGTTTATTCTCCCAAACACAGCGTGTGAGAAGCTTTATTTCGCCTCCAAGCTCATTCGACCGGTAAGTGCGTACGATTCATTGAGTGATGTGATGTTTGTCGCGCAACATACAGCGCAACCGTGCTAGCTCACTGATTGGTCGCTGTATCGTTAGCTAACAACAACATAACGACTTGGCTAGGAAGCAATGTTGTTAGCGGGATAAATATGCGTTCATACTAGTTGGTTCAATAGGGTATATAAATCGACAAGTCTGTGTTCTCGCATAAGAGTCGGAGAAGTGCCCACGAGTTTACCTGTGGCTTTCGGTGACCGGAGGCGTACGTTTGAGGAAAGCGCGTCCAATCAATGCGTTTTGCTTATTCCGCGGACAACATACACTTGAAGAAATGCTTGATGGATTTTAACTGATGTCACAAGGATGTTGGAAGGCATTCATATTTACGGGAATCGTGCATTCTGACACTCAGAAGATATGACGACCCTCAGTCGAGCGGGGTTGCTACGCTAGGTCTACTTTTTGGTGGTCATTATGTTAGTATAATTGAACGGTGGAAGTCATACTTGCTGGGGCTTATCCGGAAGCACGTCGAAAACGATAATTTGTGCATTTTAGCACCGCAGGCACTTTCACTGTTAAGTTATTGTAGGCTGAAAGAACTGAGTGTGCAAGCATTGCCAGATTTGCGTTTCCAGCGTTCCGATATCAGGTGGCAGCTGTAGTCTGGTCTACCCGTTGAAAAGGGCAACTGCAAGTCAGAGCTCAGTTCTTTCTCGACAACTGCAAAGCGATATAACACATTTGCTATCGCTGTTACCACCTACGCCTGCAGTCGTCTAGAGATCAGGATACAACACATGATGGATTTCAAAGTGATGTAAATACGTGCACAATAAGTAAACCTATGAGGCGCCGCGCTCCAGAAAAGTTAAAGTGCTTCATAATGCTGCTTAAATAAAAGTAGAATTCCAGAAACTGTAATCTTCGAACTGCCTTCTTATGACCACGAGGCTATTTCTGTGCACATTCAACTACATTTCTCTGTATATTTATTTCTCTGCACAATTACACCACACACAAAAGAGAACAACGTGTGAAGGCGAAGCAGTGTGGAGAAGGTTCGCTTTAGCGGAGATGGTGTAAATTACTGGAAGGACAAATAACAATGTATTGAGAATGTACGCGCGAAGAGACAGAGAGAGAGAAAGAGACGTCTTGTAAGGGGTGGTACTACGCCAGTAGGAAGCCTTCCACTGGCAAGTATTAGTTTTATGCGCACGTCGATGGCCGCGTAGTCGGGGACGTTCTGGGCAAGCATCGCACGAGTTTCTGCAATTCAACGGGAAGGTTCAAGACTTGGTTCTTGATCCCGTATTGCCCGTTGCGGTGCATGAGGCGTCGAATGCTCATGAGCAGCAGATGCACCGTGATGCGCCGTTCTTTTACCTGATTGAGCTCGCGCAGATGCTTGGGTTTCACCGGGTTGCTGTAGCCGTTGATCACGCTCATCATGGGCAGCTTGCCCGACGTTAACGCCTCCATGCAAGTCAAGCACGCCACGAATTCAGCGTGGCTGCCTTCGTTGTTACTGACCCGTATGTCACAGTACGCCGACAACTGTGTCCCGGTGTTGTTCGTTCTGCATGCTGCCGACCTCGGTCAGCTGGTTATCGAACGAAAGCCGGTAACACACACTGCCGCTTTCGCCGAAGCTCCGATCGAGAAAACCTTGCGTTAACCTTGCGTTCACGCTATCATTATGGGTCGCAGTAGTTGCTTCCAGCCTACTCGCGTTGCCTCGTCGATTTGGGATCTGCCACTCGACGTTTTCGTTTTGATTCGGCTTCGTGTTGCCTGCACCCCCTCGAGATTCTAGAGAATAGAGAGGGGGAGTGTGGGAAAGGAGAGAGAAGAGCGAAACACGCATGCGGAGATCGGGTGTTGATGCCACTAGAGGAAGGGGCAAAGTCCCGGCTTCAAGCCGCTTCGCATCTAAAACAATAGAAACAATAGATTTTACTTAGGACCATGTGCTTTTGCATAATGTGACCATCATCCACCATGCTTCCATCATACCACCATTATCAAGCTTGTTCACCAATACTTTCAACAAACACGTTTTTTCTCACGACCATCAGCCAGCATTTTCATAATCACCGTCGTTGGCCGTTCACCACTATCACACTAAGGCAAAATTGCCCAAAAAAGAGTAACAGAGCCCAATAGGCGCGCGATGAACGGATAGACCGTTGAGGAGCAACCACAGAGAGAAGCGTGCAGCACGAATCCACTTATTCTCCCGGGAATCGCAGGCAGCGCGAAAAGTGTTGCCAAGGTGACTAGCCCTCCTTCTCCCCAGAACACATTTCCTTCTTCTCCTCTGCTGGCTCACTCTTTCCCCGTATTTTGCCGGCGTCGGTTCGCGTTGCGTCGCGCTCGGAGTGCTCGACCACGGCCGCCTGGATTCGACGATGTAAGAATTACGACGTGGTGTTTGTGTGTACACTTGGATGAGCGTGGGCTGCTGC